ACTAAGCAACTAACACTTCCCCTATTTCCAGAACTGGTAAGAGTGGCTCACTATACCTAAGTTATTTGTACAACAACGTTGTTGTTCAGTCACTTAGTTGTGTCCTATTCTTTGTGACCCCATGGACTGCAGCACGTCAGCCTGCCTTGTCCTTCACTGACTCCCAGGGTTTGCTCAAACTCATGTCCTTTGAGTCAATGATGCCATCCAACCATCTCATCCTCTGTTGTCCCCTTCTCCTCCTGCTTTCAATCTTTCCCAGCATCAGGGTCTTTTCCAATGAGTTGGCTCTTTGCATCAGGTGGCCAGAGTATTGGAGCTTCAGCTTCACCATCAGTACTTCCAATGAGTATTCAGAGTTGATTTTCTTTAGGGTTGACTGGTTTGATCTCCTTGCAGTCCAAGGGACTCTCAAGAGTCTTCTCCAGCACCACAGTTCCAAAGTGTCAATTCTTCGGTGCTCAGCCTACTTTATGGTCCAACTCTCACATCTGTACATGAATACTGGACCTCTGACTATATGGATCTTTGTTGGCAAAGTAACATCTCCATTTTTTAATATGCTGTCTAGGTTTGTCATAGCTTTTCTTCCAAGGAACAAGCTTCTTTTAATTTCATTGCTGCAATCACCATCTGCAGTGACTTTGGAGCCCAAGAAAATAAAGTCTGTCACTATTTCCATTCCCTCTCCCCCCGCCATCTATTTGCCATGAAAAGATGGGACTGGATGCCATGATCTTAGTTTATGCTGTTCATGCAAGCAATGCTGAATACCTGTTTTCTTTCTGGAAGTTGAATTTTGGCACATGCTAAACAAAGAGTGCTTATATAACCAGCACTCAAGAAAAACTCTAGGTACTGAGCCTCTAACAAGCTTCCCCTGCAGACAGCAGTTTCACACTTTTGTTGTTACAGCTTTTTGCTGGGGAATACAGTGTGTTTTCTGTGATTCCCCTGGGAAAGGAACCTTGGATGCTTGTGCCTTGTTTTGGTGGGACTTCATCCCATGTGCTTTTTCTCTGTGCTGACTTTAGCTTTGTATCCTTTAGCTGTGATAAATCGTAGCCATGAGCAGGACTAAATAGGAGTCCTGTGGGTTCTCCTACTGAGTCAGTGAAGCTGAGGGTGGTCTCGGGGACACCCGACACAGGTTCTCTCAGCTTGTCTGGATCCCACTTCCCTGAGGCCTTCTTCCCTGGTTCCCACAATGGGGAGTGATTGTCCCCTAGGCCCAGTGGAGCTGTATCAGCAGACTTTGGAAACGGGGTCTTGGATCAAATCCTGCTTTGGCTGGCATGGTGCAGGCCCTGGTACATGGCCCCTCTTGTAAAGATTGGTCAGTACCTGTGTCTGGTACTTAATCATGGCTGGTTCAACCTCCCTAAGAGCACAGGCTTGGCAGGCAGACCTGGGTTTGAATCCCTGCTCTTAATTTTCTGTGATCTTGTTTCTTCATCTCTAAAATGGGTGGAATTGTGTTTAATTTGATAGAATCATGCAAAATACTGCCCATAGGGCCTGGCACACAGTCACTGCGCAGCAAATGGGAACTTTTATTGTTGTTTTGGTTGTCGGTGTGAAAGTCTGAAAGTCCTCTCCCCAAATAGACAGGAAGCATCTCACTGTTTTTTGTTACTTTCTCAGGTTCCAGCATTCTCTTACCCAAACTAGGTGCTTGAAACTTTGTTGAAAGGATAATATTTTACTCTGTAGTGAAAGGCATGAGTTTGCTGCAAAATAAAAACCAAAGTAGTTATTACCATGTAAAAAAATCACATTTGAGTGATTATGTGCCGTGCACTGTGCTAAACAGTTTGCATAGACAATTTATTCCATTTATTCTTTACAACAACCTTGTGAGTGCGGTGCTACTATCTTTATCACCTTTTTTGTTTTGGCTGTTGCACTGGGCATTAGAAGAAAGCCAGATAGGAAGGTCAGCCACTCATACTCTCGTGGGCTTTCACATCCACTAGGAGTTCTAAAGGAACCTACTGAATTATTGTGTAGGTGTGATTTTGTTCGTTTTTTGGCCACACAGCGTTGCATGTGGGATCCTAGTTCCCCGACCAGGGATCAAAACCGCACCCCCGACCCCTGCATTGAGAGCACAGTCTCAACCACTGGACCGCCAGGGAAGCCCCTATCATCGCTGTTTTGAAGACGAGGAAATGAAGCTTAGCACAACTGTGGACTCATGCAAATTAGCGGCAGAGCTGGAATTCAAAACCAGGTGTATCATCAATAATCTACTCAGGCTGCTGTAGCGAAATACCACAGACTGGGTGCCTTAAACAACAGAAGTTAACTTTCTCGTGGTCTGGAGGCTGGAAGTCCAAGATCAAGGTTGCCGTCAGGGCCAGTTTCAGTATCCAGTGAAAAGTCTCCTCCTGGTTTATAGACAGTGGGCGTCTCCCCGGCTTTCTGTCAGGCCTTTCCCCGCGCACGGCTATGAGAAGACTGAGCAAGGGAGCTCTCTGGTGTCTTTTCTTGTAAGAACACTCATCCTGTCAGATCAGGCCTTCGCCTTTACAACCTCATTTATCCTTAATTATTTCCCTAGAGGCGCCATCTCCAAATACAGCCGCAGTGGAAGTAGGGCTTCAACATACGAATTTTGGGGAGCCACGTTCTGTCCACAACACCAGGTTTGTCTGACACCAGGGCAAACAGTCACAAATTACTCAACCCCTTGACTTGTTCTACCATTTATATTGGGAACCATGTGGGGTTGGGAGGTAGATGCTTAATTTCCTTCCCTCGGTCAGAAACATTAACCCAAGTAGGACTGCTAAGCTTCCAGAGGTCTAGAAGCATCTCCCTAGAGGGCTTTGTCAGGGAACACTTGAGCGGGCTTCTGGATTGAGAAGTTCGGCTATACTTGGAGTTTAGGTTAAAAGGGAAAGAATTTGGAAGAGAGGGGAAACCATGTCTCAGAATTAAAAGTCTTTTCTTTTAAAAAAAACTGCTTACCTGGCTGCACCCAGGTCTTAGTTGCAACATACGGGCCCTTTTAGTTGCAGCATGCAGAATACTTGGTTGTGCTATGCAACTTGTGGTTTCGGCATGTAGGATGGTTTCCTAACTGGAAATCAAGCTTGGGCCGCCTGCATTGGGGGCACAGTCTTGGCCCCTGGACCACCAAGGAAATCCCAGAAATAGTCTTTTCTATCTATTCCCCTGATCAGAAATGGTTTGCACAGTGGCCTTTCCAGCCAATGGCAATAGGTAAGGAGAAGTTTCTTTGAAGTGCCGCCAAAAATGTCGTTCGGAGCAAATTCATTGATCTCTTTTTGTGGTAGGATAGTTTCAGTCTTGATCTTTGTTCTGAGGAAGGATGGAAAAGTGTCTACAGGCATATTTCAAATACTCGTTTCGTTTCCTTCTTAGCAGAAGCACCCAATCTAATCAGGACTTTTTGCTTGCTTTGTAATTATTTACTTAAAGGACTTCCTGTGCATGTTCAGATAAGTAACTCATTCTTCTTGTAAATTATGAGGGGCTTGGAGATTGTACTGATATTCCTAAATACCATTAAGCCAGACAGCTGCTGTGGTTTATTTGCCTTTAGAAAGGTCCATAAATCTTGAAACGTTAACTGAGTGTAACTGGATTCACAAGCTATAAATTCTTAAGACAGTGATGAGGGAAGATGCAAAAGAACTCCAGTTTATCTTAAAAAAAAAAAATTTATTTATTTGGCTGTGGCAGGTCCTACCATGCAGGATCTTTAGTTGCAGCATGTGGGATCAGTTCCCTGACTGGGGCTTGATCCTGGGCCTCCTGACTTGAGGGCACAGAGTCTTAGCCACTGGACCACCAGGAAAGTTCTAGGAGCTGCAGTTTTAAGCTCTAGGAGTAATATTTAAACCTTGGTTCAGAACCCTGAATTTTTTCATTTATAAACAAGCAGTTCTAAGAGTCTGAATGCTGCTTCTCAGAATTTTCTATTTTAATCTTCCTTGATCCAGAGACTTAAAAAAAAATTTTTTTTTTTCCCTTCTGGAAATGAATCAAGAACTTTAAATTGAATTTCCAAAGATCGAAAAGGGGAAAGAAGCTGCTTCGGTGACAGGAGAGCAGCTGTCCAGGAATAGATTAAAAATGCTCTGCTCCACCAAGGTGGAGCTGAAAATGTGCTTGGGGTTTCATACCATGCTAATTCTTGGTACTGTGACCTGTATTTCACGTAGATAAAATGCACTTATTTAAGTGTGGGCCAAAGAGACCCTTAGGCAGTTTGCATGGTTCCAAAATGGAATTCCCTGAAAGACATACTAATAAGACTATTTGTGAAGGTCATGCCTTTGGAAGGAAGATGTGGTTCTAGAGCAGAGGGTTGTAAACCCCTGTCAAGTCTAACCCACTGCCTGCTTAGTAAATAATATGCTATAAGGGCTTCCCAGGTGGCACTAGTGGTAAAGAACCTGCCTGCCAATACAGGAGATGTAAGAGACGTGGGTTCGGTCCCTGGGTCGGGAAGATCCTCTGGAGGAGGGCATGGCAACCCACTTCACTATTCTTGTCTGGAGAATTCCCATGGACAGAGGAGCCTGGTGGGCCACAGTCCATAGGGCTGCGAAGAGTCAGACACGACTGAAGCAGCTTAGTGTGCATGTAGCATGCACATGCTACCAGGGCAGAGGTGAGCAGTTGCAACAGAGGAGGAGGCCCACAAAAATCTAAAATATTGACTACTGGCCTTTTCAGGAAAAAGTCCCGTTCTCTCGAGGGCCTCAAGTTGGCCCTGTTTCCGTCTCTTCATCCACCAGCCTAGCTGGGGGATATGGTGTATCAAGTACCCCATGAAGAGCCGACCACTCAAACCCTGACTAGGCTGTGCTTCTGCTGCCATGACAGACTCTGCTGCCCGATAGTGCCTGAGTCACAGTTTAGTTAAGATGGGCAAAGCGGTTGGAGCACCTCTGTTCTCAGACAGCAGAGGCCAGAAGAGAAATAGGTAAGAACTTTATTTTTTCAAACTTTAATATTAGCAACCATTAGAGGGGAATCTTCTTTAACTTAATCTTTTCTTCAACGTTTGAAAAATATCTCATCTTTGTTAAGAGTTCCTTGGCTTTTGCAAAATTGTCTGAAATAAAGAGAAAGATTAATGTGAGAGGCTTCATTCAAGCAAGAATAAAATCACTCTACCACCCAAGGCAGCTGGATCAAAGCTGAGCGCCGGGCTCTGGAAGGCTGATCAGTTACTCAGTAGATCTGAGAGAGGGAGACAGAACACCCTGAATTGCTCTCGGGGACAGAGGACTTACACCCAAAGGGAGCAAAAGCACGCTTGTTCACAGGATTCAGACTTTAAATGAGAAGCTGATTCTTTTTCAGGATGATACCCAGTATAATTAAGTTGTGTTTTTTGTTTTTTTAGATTAATTAAATTTTGGTTCTGCTGAGTCTCTGCTGCTGCACGGGCCTTACTCCAGCTGCGGCGAGCGGGAGCTACTCTGTCTGTGCTGCTTGGCCGTCTCATTGCTGTGCTCCTCTGCTGCGGAGCAGGGCCTCGAGGGCACAGGCTCAGGAACCGTGGTGCATGGGCTTGGTTGCTCCGTGGCCTGTGGGACCTTCCCAGACCAGGGATCGAACCCGTGTCCCCTGCATTGGCAGGCAGATTCTTTGCCACTGGGCCACCGGGGAAGTTCCTAAGTTGTGTTTGAAGAGTTCTCCCCCTGTCATGTATGGTGGTCGAAACCTGGTAAGGAATGTGGAAGCACCTGGTGCAGGGGGAGAAGGATGGAATGGACCAACAGGCCACCACATTCAGGACCGCAGTCTTGGTTCCAGACTGCTTCTACTTTCCAGGTCCTGCTCTGCAACAGCTCTCATCACACTGTATGGACTCATCTCTGGGACTTTGGATTCTGACAGGTGTCCCTAACTCCTTAGAATAACCTCCTTTTATCTGGGTTAGTATGAGTTGCTTTCTCCTTCCTGCAGTGGAATGATCCCTAGGCCAAAGGGATATTATTGTCTTATTTGAGGGGTGGCACAAGACAGGGATAGAGGGAATGGGGCTCTGCCAAACGGAGTGTGCAGCCTTGCCCTCAGGTCAGTCTGGGTTGGCTTCAGCCCACATCCCTCACCTTATCTTCTCCTACTTGCCAAAGGGGAATGGGAGCATTTTCTCTCATCTAGTCTTCAGTGGACACATTTACTGGCTTGGCACACACCTGGATTCTCTAGCAAGACTGTGAATCCTTGAAGGCAGAAATGTAGGCTCATCTCTATTTTATTGCTCCCCACATACCTGTCATAGGATGGGCATATAATAGCTACTTATTGAATGAATGGTTATATCTCAGTGCTTAGTATTTCTTTCCATATTTAAGAAAGTCATGAAATGAAGGGAGTACCTCTTTCAAAAGCTCTGCTCACATCATCAGTCAGTTCTTTCTGTTTAGCTGAAAGAAGAAAACCAAGATCTTAATTCTTCTATTTAAGTAGACTGATAATATGAAGACAACCCTCTGTCATCTTGTTGTGAATACAGCATAGCAGGGAGCTTGGATTCAAGGGTGAGGCCTCATGACCTCTGTCTCTACATGTGCGCAGTGGAAGCTCCTGTTCCGTGCAGCTCTGGCTGACCCCAGTTACACTGTTTTCCTACCCATGCAAGGTCTGAGGGGCAATCACCAAAGTTCATAAAATGGCTACAGAAGCATTAAAAAAGAAGACAGGACAAGGAAATATCTTATCTCCACCAAGCACTCTGAGTCTTCCAGGTTTCAGCTAGGAGAAAAATCAATAAGCTGGGCTCACCTATCAGCAGGGTGTTACAGAATCAGGCAACCACTAGGAAATCATACAGCCTCTCCTTCCCAGGTAGCACTAGTGGTAACTCTCCTGTCAGTGCAGGAGATGTAAGAGACGCGGGTTCAATCCCTGGGTCGGGAAGATCCCCTGGAGAAGGAAATGGTAACCCATTCCAGTATTCTTGCCTGGAGAATCCCATGGACAGAGGAGCCTTGTGGACAATGGTTCATGGGGTCGCAAAGAGTTGGACACGACTGAAGCAACTTAGCACTTAGAACGTACCTGAAGAGAGAAGATGCCAGATGAAGTAAAGGAGCAGCTCTCTCATGCTTGCATTGTTTCCTCATTAGGAAATGAGGAGTTTTATAAGTGCATTTCCCAGTTACAGACAGTATTAATCATTTATGGGGGTACCTGCTTTCAAAGCACTTTAAAATATATTTTATCCCCATCATAGGCAACGACAGGTATTGGGAAAATGTACTGTGGTTACATGGCTGGTGAGTGGAAGAGCTCGGAACAGACCCCAAGTCACCTGACTCCGAGTTCAGTGGCTAGAAACTCACTTTTCTGGTAGCAACGTGGTGTCGACAAAAAAAACACTGGATTAGGAGTCTGGAGGCTCTGAAGTCCTGACCCCAAAACCATCTAGCTCATGCCCTTAAACGTTCACTTTAACTGGGCCTTAGCAGGTAAGGGAGGAAATTTAGGAATTACTCTAAATGAAGATCAGTGATCTGCTTAAAGCCAGACATTAACTATAGAGCTAAAATAACCCCCACCACTGACTGAGCACTTACTATGAACCAGGCTCTGTATCAAATGTTTTACACACTTTGTTGTCCAGTTGCTAGGTTGTGTCTGACTCTTTGCGACCTTATGGACTGCAGCATGCCAAGCTTCCCTGTCCTTCACTATCTCCCAGAGTTTGCTCAAATTCATGTCCATTGAGTCGGTGATGCCATCAAACCATCTTATCCTCTGTTGCCCTGTTCTCCTCCTGCCCTCAATCTTTTCCAGTATCAGGGTGTTTTTAACTTATTTAATACTTGCAACAATGGGTACTAATATTGTCTCCATTTTACAGATGAGGAAACTGAGTCTCAGAGGGGGTGAAGGCACTTTGCTCAAAGTCACACAAAAAGTCGGTGGCAGTGTTGGGACTGAACCCAAGTCCACATCACCCAGAGCTTCATGGTCCTCTGCCTGCCAAAGCCATGCAGCTGGGTCTTCTGATTGCAAATGCCAAGCTTCTCTTTTTCCAACACCACACAGCTCTAGTGCTGATACACCCCCACTGGACAGTTCCCCCACCACAACTTCTATTTTACTGCTTTTAACTTGTTTGTTATTTTTTATTCACTCACTTGATAAATATTTACTGAGTCCTCGTTACACTCCAAGTACTGTTACGTGTGCTGAGGATGTGAGAGAAGCAAAAAACAGACACAATTTCTGCCTCCGCAGAACTTCTGGTCTAATGGGGGAGGCTGATGTGGGGCCGATAATCTCACATAGAACAATAAGGTTATAACTATTATTAGTCCTACAAAGGAGGGGTACTCTCGGCTAAAAGACATAGAGGTCCTCTGAGGATTTCCTGAGGAAGTGGGGACTGCCCCCAGATCTGAAGGAGGAAGAGTTAGTAGATGGGGTGGAGGAGAAGGGGATTTTGGGCAGAAGCAACAGTACCTACAAATGCCCTGGGCAGGAAGGTGGAAAGTACGGATGAAGAACTGGAAGCAGCCTGCATGGCTGGACTGGAAGGAGCAAACAGGAGGAAGCAGACGCCCAGCTATCCAGGTCTCTTTAACCTGAAAGTGATGGGGAGCCAAGGGAGCCACTTCAAGTTTTTAAGCAAGGCCAAGGGTGCGATGATTAGATTTGGGTTTCAGAAAGACAACACACGTGATAGCATAGGAATATATCAGACTGAAGGTAGAGATGGACTGGTCGGAGTTACTCCAGTCGTCCAGATGGGAGAGAATGGTAGCTTGGGACAGGGTGGTGGCAGTGAAAATGGATGGATTTGAGACACAGTAAGAAGGTCAGTTTTTCAAGACTTGGCGACAGACTGTCTATCGGGGGAGGGGGAGTCAGTTGGGAAGAACGCTTACGCAGTGTTTTGGACTTGAGTAACTGCAGAGGGTCATCTACTTAGAAAGGGAATATCCGCAGAGGATCAGGTTGGTTTTGGGGGGCGGAGGATGGACACTCATGACCTCCATGTGGGACACACTGAATTGGAACACATAAACTCCATGAGGGCCCAGGTCATGTCCTTCTGTTCCCTGCTGGATTCTCGGTGTCCTGCACAGTGCCTGATACACAGCAGGCACACCACAGACATTTGTGAAAGTTTGTACATGCATGCAATTTGAGTGAGAAACCTGGAGCCTTTTCTACTTGGCATGGTTAACTATATGTGCCAACTTGTTTAGGCTGCAGTGCTCAGTTGTCTAGTCAAACACGAGTCTAAATGCTGCTGTGAAGGTTTTCTGTAGACGTGATTAACATTTACAGTCAGTTGACCTTAAGGAGAGTATCTTTAATAACACAGGTGGGCCTCATCTAATCAGTTGAAGACAGTGAGCAAAAACTGAGTTTTCCTGAAGAGGGAATTCTTCCTCATGACTAACATAGAAGTCCTGCCTGAGTTTCCAGGTTGCTGATCTATCTGACATAGTTTGGATTTGCTAGCTCCTACAATCACATTAGCCATTCCTTAAAATAAGTTTCTCTCTACACACACACACACACACACACACACACACACACTATTGATTCTGTTTCTCTGGAGAACCCTGACTGACCCTCTATGGAATAAAGTGAAAGTAAAGCAATATGGGATCATAAGAGCAAGGTTTCATTCTTTGCTCTGCTACATCTGCTGAGTGACTTTGGGTATTCCCATGAACTTCTGAGGCCTATTTTTCTTGGCAGAGATAATATCATCATCCAAATGATGTCATGGGTGGGAAAGAGCACTGTGGTCTACAAAATACTATTACATTCTTAGTTTAAGCCTGCTTTCCAGAGAATTAGGGATTTTGCAGGTCTAACAGAATGGGTTTCAGTATGATCAAGAAAAAAAAAATTCCCCAAGCACGATGAAGACCAATGTGTCGTCTTTATATCCATTTTCCACTTAACCTCTACATATACGGGGATTTCCCTGGTGGTCCAGAGGTTAAGAACCTGCCTTTGGGCTTACCTGGTAGCTCAGATGGTGAAGTATCTGACTGCAATGTGGGAGACCTGGCTTCTATCCCTGGATCGGGAAGATCCCCTGGAGGAGGAAATGGCAACCCACTCCAGTATTCTTGCCTGGAAAATCCCATGGACGGAGGAGCCTGGTGGGTCCATCGGGTTGCAAAGAGTCGGACATGACTGAGTGACTTAGACTCTATGTGTACTCAAAATAGCAATATAATATATCTGGTACTATTTTATCTTTTACCTCTGACAATAGATTCAATCTCTCTCATGGCAGTTTCACCTTGAGCTTCTGCAAGTTTTTCATTGATTTCCATTATTTCCGTGAGGAATTGACTATCCATCTCATAGTCTGTCCCTTCGGGAATCTCTACTCCATGGAGCTTTAGCTATTGGGGCATAAAGCAGGGAAAATTAAGTTTAATTCAAGAAATTATGGCTAGAGTCATAAATCCTACTCACCATAAATCCTTCTCACCCTTTAGAACAAAATGTCACTCACAGAGAAAACTTGAAGTGTCCCAGTGATGAAACTGGGACTGAGATAGGAGTATTGGAACTCTCCTACCTGGAACTATGTGACCCTAGGGGAGTCATTCCTCCACTTGGGAGGTTGAACTATGTATCTGTAAAGATTCCATTAAATCCTAAAACTCTAAGGTGCTCACTTCTCTACTAGCAACAAAACAAAAATTACTCTTTCCTAAAAGCCAGTACAGTCTAATTCTTTAAATTTATAGCAAATGGTAAAAAAAAAAAAAAAAAAAAGGCAACTGGGCAAGTAAAGTTTATAGAGATACTCAGAAAACTATACGCATGTAGTTTTTTTTTTTTGCATGTAGTATTTTTGAGGTTAATTATGGGTCCCTAGACTAGCTAAGATCTCAAGCACTCTTCTGTTGAATACAGGGGAACAGCTGTCCCCCAGAGCAATGGGATCAGGCAATCATGATAGAAGGGTTGGAAAATCACCTTACAAGGTATAGTCCCCTGCTCAGGGGGGCCAGAAGGGTCTTATAGGCCTCATTGACAAGGGTTGAATGCTTCTCTGAGAAGTCCTTTTCATTCTGTAAGTGGAAATGAAGATAGTCATATTACCACACAAATCAGCCATCTTACATTCACAAACTGTTTCATAAAACACTGATGGGCAGGCACATAAGGAAGGAGAACTGGTGTGGGATAAGCTGTTTTAATTTTCAGACGATGGGTTTTAATTCTGCTAGGAATTAAGGTAAAAGCTCTGAGTGTAGGATTGATCCAGGGCCTGGTTGGTTGTGATCAGGCTGCCCCAGGGCAAAGCTGGTTGTCCAGTTTTGTCCCTGGTAATCTCATAACCACAGGCCACTGCACCCAGGGTGCATATGTGTTTGGGTATGATTGTGCTATGTCTGTTGTGCTAACTCACTTCAGTCATGTCTGACTCTTTACGACCCTATGGACTGTTGCCCACCAGGCTCCTCTGTCCCTGGGATTTTCCAGGGAGGCATACTGGAGTGGGTTGCCATGCCCTCCTCGAGGGGAGCTTCCCCACCCAGGGAATGATTAGGGGTGGCCAACAGGCTTACCTGAGACCTCTGGCTGAAGAAATCTGGGTGGACAAGGCGCTGTAGTTGCTGGTATCTATGTTGGAGCTTCACAGTGTCAACTCTGAAGGAGCGGTTGCTGGAAGGAAATCAGGAGATGAAACTCATGCATCAGATATTTATAGATATATAAATATACTATGGGCCTGGTTCCTCTTCTCAGGGGGGACACAATAAACATGCAGACAAGAGATATTCTAGAAAGTAGTAGGTACTGCAAAGGAAAACGAATAGGGTCAGAGAACGGTAGATGTAGTGGACAAAGAGATGACATTTGAGCTGAGACCTAAATGATGATGAGGAGTAATCAGAGATCAGAGGAAAGATGCATTCAGGCACAGGGAACACGCAGAGACCTTGAAGTTAGAACAAGATTGGCATGCTTGAACAACTTACAGGGTAGTGTTACTGCAGCCCTTCATAAGTGCTCAGTGACTGGTGGGGCCAGAGCCCAGAGTTAAGGGGTATTCCAGAATCATACTCTATTTTTCTAAGGCCCAGGTCCCTTTATTTCTGCCTCTCACTTTATTTTAGACGAATCCCCTTCGCTTTTTATTCCCAGAACCTGCCCTATCTCTTTAGCTTCGGCCAAATTTCTCACCTCTCCAAACTCCTCGACCTTCCGCGGTGGCGATAAACAGGAAAAACACTTATTTCTCAGAACCCTCCAGTTCTCACTTTTCCCTTAGACTCTGCCCACAGCCTTAAGTTTTTCCATGCTCTTACTCTCGTATTTTGGATACCACTTCTGTACTTCTTTCTTAAAAATCTCAAGCCAACTTTAAACATTCTGAACTTCAAGCTTCTATGCTCCAAAGTGAAAGTGAAAGTCGCTCAGTCGTGTCCAACTATTGCGACCCCATGGACTGTACAATCCATGGCATTCTCTAGGCCAGAATACTGGAGTGGGTAGCCTTTCCCTTCCCCAGGGGATCTTCCTAACCCAGGGATCCAACCTAGGTCTCCCGCACTGCAGGCGGATTCTTTACCAGCTGAGCCACAAGGGAAGCCCGTAATTAATGAATCTTCCCAACCCAGGGGGTCGAATCTAGGTTTCCTGCATTGCAGGAGGATTCTTTATCAGCTGAGCCACCAGGGAAACCCAAGTATATCTATCCCTTGGGAGGGGATAGCCTATCCCTTCTCCAGCAGACCTTCCCGACCCAGGAATTGAACCGGGGTCTCCTGCACTGCAGGCAGATTCTTTACCAACAGAGCTATCAGGGAAGCCCTAGGGCCGCCCAAGTATCCTCCCCTCAAAGCCCCGCCTCTCAACTTGGCCTTCTCTCAGAACCCGCCCCTCAAGCCTCCCTCCATTGCTGCCCTCAAACTTCAGGTTCCCCTAACCACTCCCCGCCTCTCCACTCCAAGACTCGCTCTCGTCTTCATCCCCCTAAGGCGTCGTCGCTCAGGCCAGCCCGTTAATTTCTTCCCCAGATACATCCCACGCACCCTTCTCGACCAGGCTCCACCCCCAGCCCGGTCCTCCAGGGCCCCGCCAACCTGTGTGACTGGTTCAGCCTTCCTCCTCCCCTAGCCCGACCCGCCCTCCCCTCTCGCACGTCCAGACGCGTTTCAGGAAACGGCCTCCATACCAGTCCATGAGGCTGAAGTAGTCTCGAGTCGGGTCAGGTGGCTGCAGCGCCCGGCAGTGAGGGCAGAAGAACCGGTCCCCCCGCGATGGGCCCCCTAGGCCGCCGCAGTTCCAACATCGTGGGGAGCTGCTTCCTGCCAGCGAAGCAGCATTGCAGTTTAGCAGTCTTCTCCCGATCACCCCTGTCGGCCACCACCCCAACGCGCGGAGCAAGGCCCCGGTCCTTCCGCCCCACATCGGGCCGACGGCCTGCCTCGCCGAGGTCACCTGAAGCTGACCAGACTCGTGCTAGTGATTGGTTGGGGAACTGGGCGGGGGGCGGGACCACCCGGGGGAAACCTGGATTCTGAGTCCCGCTCTGAAACTTAAACTACAACTCCCAGAAAGCATTGAGGTTGCGGGGGCGGCCACATCCGCTGCTTCTCATTGGTCCGGCGGGAGCGGAGGGCTGTTTTGATTGGTGGAGGGTGGAGTTTGTATCTGCGGGTTTAGCGCCACTCCGCTGGCTGCGGCTGCTCTGGGTTGCACTCTTCTAGAGGGGCTCACGCGGTGAGTCATAGTGGGGAGCTTCTTTTGGGTATTTAGGGGTTCGAATCCTGTCCTCAGGGTCTTATTGCGAGCTGAATCTCCAGAGCCTCCATCTTGTCCTGTGTATGAGCTCGGGAAGCGGGGGGAAAGAAGAATGCGTGGGCGACTCTCTTCCTCCTTTGTAGACAAACTTCGAGGTGCATTTCACTTCCCTTGTTACTTGCAAGCAGAAACTGGCCCAGAAGTACAGGATAAGAAAGAACAAAGTTGTGCTCTTCAGAATCAGAGCCAAGCTGCTCTGCAGAAAGTTTTAAAGGTGTTAGTAATTATTATCATAGTTTGGTTCAATCTGAAAAATGCCTTTTGAGAACCCATTCTCAATAGGCGCTGCTGGAACTGGAAGCACGCTGACTTGTATAGGAAGATGCTTCGAGAGTGTCCGCAAGGAAGTGTGGGGGATTGGGTGGCAAAGGGAGGGGAGGGGGCCACCAGTCTTCCTTGGGACGCAGTTTCTCTATTTGAGAAAAAATAAATTGTGTTGCACTTGTAAGGCCTTTCCCTGCATTCAGATTCTTTGGGCCTGAAAGTCCGATTATCAAGCTTTACTGAGGGGGTGGGGTTGAAAGAGCGTTGAAGCAGCGTCTCATTTGATTTTCTAGCTCCGTCTACTTTTTGGGTTCTGAGAGGCTGTGATCTACCTAAAGGTCATGCGAAGAGCTAGCTTAGCTGACTCCAGATCTGTTTGCTTATAACCTCTCCACTATGTGTGGCGGAGGCCCTTGTAGTCCTGGTGTGGTGGACCCTTCTTATCAGGTGCGATGATAGCAGCTGCCTCTTGACACACTGTCTTTTGCCACTTCTCAGGGCGGAGTTTTGCTCCAAAGGCGCAGGAGGTCACTCCTCGGCTGAGGTGGTATCAGAGCTGCAGGTCCTGAAGTCGAAGCTCTGGCAGCACCTCCCTGGTGCACTTCCGGGAAACCTCATCGGACTTTTGCATCTGGAAGGCCTGTGTAAATGTAATAACCTGTGTCAGTCATGTTTACTATATTTTTCTTGAGGGGTAGCCTGAGTGTGGAAATCTGGAGAGAAAGCACTTAAAAAAAATCAGATTAGGGATTTAAAGTTAGGGTTTGAAAGTTACTTTGACGTCACTGTAGTTTCTGTTATTGGGGTTTAACTGTCAAATTAAATTCTAAAACAAGGGTGGGAACCTCTGTTATGATCTTCTGTGTCTGAATGGTTCCTTCTGTTGTGCTTGGAGGTCGTTTGGGATGCTGAAAAGATGAGCCCCATGGTTAATTAGCATCACAAAGGGCTAGGTGGGGTTGTTTAGTGCTGCCTTAGTGTTTTGCTTCATTAAGTGGCCCAGCTTTTAGTTTGGTGTCTAGGTATCTGGAATGACCTTGGGTCCTACCCTCCAGGAGCTGGTTTTTGGAAGGGGCATCAGTAACATTTTATGTAAATATCACCCCTGGGGTAATGCAGCCAATTTCTGTAGAATTTTTCTTTGCCCATCATCTATGCCAAGCCACCCGACCTTTCCCCTTCTTTGCTTTCTGAAAATACATGTGAAGTTTAAGTGTAGTGTTGATTGTATTAATGAATACATTTTAGGTTCTATTTCTTTTTTCTTAAAAAATATTTATTTATTAATTTGGCTGCACCGGGTCTTAGTGACAGCCTGTGGGATCTTTTTAGTTGTGGCCTGAGGGATCTAGTTTCCTGACCAGGGATTGAACCCGCCGAGCCCCCTGAATTGGGAGCACAGAGTCTTAGCCACTGGACCACCAGGGACCACCATTTCTAATTTTTAACATTTGGATGAGTGTAAGCTATTATGAGTCTCTCCCCCTCCCCAATTCAGTACCTTTGTTTTTTCACTTATTTATAGCCTTCAAATTATTTCTTTGTTTCTTTCCCCTGTGGTTTGTGGCTGTTACACAAAAAACTTATCAGGTGAAAATGATCTGGTGAGAAACTCAGCTCAGAAGAGTGATAGCTGAAGACTGTTGGAATTTTAATTTCTGCAGAGCCTGCTTGTCCTGGATCTTCTTTTTTGTGTTGTTTTGGCTGTTGAAATATGCCCATCCTTCACTGTTGACCTTTAAGTCTTGTTCCTTGAGACTCACCTGGTTGTGGGACGCTTATTTTTGAGGTGGTGATGTCTCGGGAGAGGAATGTGGAGTGTCAGCAGCCCCGCGGCAGCGCCTCCCCGAAGTCCCAAGGCGGCTTCTCGCAGTCCCAAGGTCCCTCCTCGCAGCCACACAGCTCCTCTTCACAGTCCCAGGGCACGTCCAGCCAGTCCTCTCACTCCAGCTCTGGCACGCTGAGCTCCTTAGACACAGTGTCCACGCAGGAACTCTATTCTATTCCGGAGGACCAAGAACCCGAGGAACCTGTCCCTGCCCCTTGGGCTCGATTATGGGCCCTTCAGGATGGATTCTCCAATCTTGGTAAGATCTTTTATGTAGTGCAATATTTTGCTCAGAAAAACAGTTACAGAAAGTTGTTGCAACAGATAACCCAAGACACTGCTGGAATGATTCTGGAGTTTGGAGGTGGTGAAAGACAGAACCGAGAAAGCAGTTTTGGGTAGTGCACTGGCTCTTACTTGCTGTGGATCCCCTTCATTTATTCTTTCACCAGATGTTGATTTGGCCTCTACCATGTGTTGTCCATCTGAGGAGGGTTGTGGATCTTTTCCCTCGAAGAATACTGATTCATGCAATCTTGCAAACATTTGTTGTCTAATCACAGAAGTGTCATCACTTCACTCCTGCTCTGGTGCAGCAGTTTCAGAGCATCTGTGTTACAGTCTCAGGATGGGGGAGGTTATTTGTTGACTCCCTGTTATTTGTTGTTATCTCAAAATAGCCAACCTTGCTGTTTAAATGTACTGATCCACTCTGACAGCTGATTCCAACAGTGAGACTTTGCTCTCAGTATGTTTTATGTAGTATCTTTCCTCTGTCTTGAATTAAAATGACCTCTTCATTAAAAAGATGGCTCAGCTGGTAAAGAATCAGCCTGCCAATGGGGAGACACAGGAAATGTGGGTTCTATCCCTGGGGCGGAAAGATCCCTGGAGAGAAAAAAGGCCACCCACTCCGGTATTCTTGCCTGAAAAATCCCATGGACAGAGGAGCCTGGAGGGCTACAGTCCAGTGGGTTGCAAAGTCAGACACAACTGAACGACTGAAATACCCACAATATACTTCATTAAAAAAAAATGAACTTGATGTTAATGGAATAGAGAATAATAATATAAGGAAATGAATGACTAATGTACCATTTTGTACCTTGTCACTCACCTTTCCTTTTATATCATGTGCAACTTGGTGACTTGAAAAAAACAGCAAAAAATGGAGAAATAATATAACAGTATTCATATGTATAACTTTAAATTTAGAAGTAAACATTTGAAGCTATTTTTTACTCATTTAAGCCATATTTTTAAGATAGGCTTAGGGCTGATCTGTGGTGACTGGGACACAGAAGTGTTAAGAGTGAAGTGGGATGTATCTCCTGTATTTTTTTTTTAATTTTTAAAAATTAAAAAAAATTAATTCATTTTAATTGGAGGCTAATTACTTTACAATATTGTAGTGGTTTTTGCCATACATTGACACGAATCAGCCATGGGTGTACATGTGTTCCCCATCCTGAACCCCCCTCCCCCATCCCTCCCCATCCCATCCCTCTGGGTCATCCCAGTGCACCAGCCCTGAGCACCCTGTCTGATGCATCGAACCTGGACTGGTGATCTGTTTCACACTTGATAATATACATGTTTCAACGCTATTCTCTTAAATCATCCCACCCTCACCTTCTCCCACAGAGTCCAAAAGACTGTTCTTTACATCTGTGTCTGGATGTATCTCCTTTAAAAGGGAGAGCTTGATATATGACTTGAGAGTCCCTTGGACTACAAGGAGAGCAAACTGTCAATCCTAAAGGAAATCAATTCTGAATACTCATTGGAAGCACTGATGAAGCTGAAGCTCCAATACTCTGACCATATGATGCCAAGAGCCAGCTCATTGGAAAAGACCCTGATGCTGGGAAAGGTTGAAGGCAATAGGAGAAGGGGGTGACAGAGGATAAGATGGTTAGGTAGCATCACCAACTCAGTGGGCATGAATTTGAGCAAACTCCAGGAGATACTGGAGGACAGAGGAGCCTGGTATGCTACAGTCCATGGGTTGCACAGAGTTGGACAGGACTTAACAACTGAATAACAATAAAGTAATTGCTGAATAAAGAGAAGCTACTTTATTGTTATTGTTATTGATTCAAACCCTACCTTCTAAATAATTTACAGTTTTAGCTCTTACACTGACCCCTGAGTTGATTTTTGTACTTGGTGTAAGGTATTGTCCAAGTTCATCCTTTGTCATGGCAATGCCCAGTTGTCCAAGAACTATTTCTTGAAGAGACTTTTTGAATGTTCTTGATACCTTTATCAAAGATCATATTGAAACCATTTGGTGGCCTTTTGAGGGGGAGGGAGGCTCCAAAGAGCTGCTGGTACCACAGTCCTTTATGTCTCAGCACAGAAAGAATTCAGTGAGAGGCAAAGTGATAGATAAAGCGACTTATTAGAATAGGGCACTTCTGAGCTTTACCAGTGGGGTGAGTGAGAGATGCTGCAGTGAGAACTTACTAGTCTGTAGCTTTATGGTAAAAAAAATGTGGGTGAAGGGAGAATA